TACTACTACTACTACTACTACTACTACTACTACTACTACTACTACTACTACTATACTACTACTACTATACTACTACTACTACTACTACTACTACTACTACTACTACTACTACTACTACTACTACTACTACTACTGCTACTACCAATCATTTTAAGACTGCTCACTGCTACCTGATCGCGTACCACTCAACACGTATACATCAAACCCTCGATACAAGCCCTCTGCGTCTCGAGGCTATATCTTTCTCACCTGCAACGCATCTGCAGTGCAGCCCGTAAGGCAGGGGAAGACGGGTCGGTTGGAAGGAAGGGACAAGGGGGGAGAAGGATAGAGCACAACAGGGAGTAGCAGGAGGGGGGTTAGAAGCAGAAAGCACGCGGCAGAACCAGACGGGCAGATCGGGCGGGTAGACCCCAATGGGCGGATCGGGAGTGCGGGCTCAGGCGGCCAGGTCGGGCAGGCGGGTTGCTGAAGCGTGCGTCCTGCATGAATCGCGAGGAAGTCTCGAGCGACAGCGTGATTCCCGGGTATCTCGCGAGGAAATCCACAGCGATTGCGTGTTTCCTTAGTGTCGAGGGCTGTGAGGAAGTCCCGCACGAGAGCGCGATTGTAAGGAAGTATCGGGCGGGAGCCGTTGTTGTAACTCGGGGGCCAGAGGGCAAGGTTGACATTCAAGGCTGGGAGGGGCACTTCAATTGGAAAAATACCATGTGCGTCGGGGGGAATTCACTGGCTCCCACCTGATACTTCCTTCCAATGTATTGAAAGATCGCGCACGCGCTCGCCGTTTCGCTTCCGATGCGCTCTTGAGGCCCCAAGACGACCCCAAGATAGCCCAAGAGAGGCCGAAGAGGAAACCTGGAGCCCCCCGACGGCCCCAAGAGCGCCCAAGGGCGATCCAAGAGCGCCCCAAGGGAATCGATGGCCGCCAAGACGGCCCCAAGAGGCCCTCCAGGGCTCCCCCAAGGGACCCACAAAAGGGCTCCAACAGGGCCCCAACGAAGCCCCACGAAAACGCCGAGATCCCCCCCAAAGAGTCCCAAGAGGGCTCCAAGAGGCGATCTTGAGGCTCTGTCATCGTCCTCGTTGTCCTCCTCCTCCTCCTCATCCTCCTCCTCCTCCTCCTCCTCCTCCTCACTCCTCCTTCTCCTCTCCCTCCTCCTCTTCTCCCCTCCTCCTCCTCCTCCTCCTCATCCTTGCCCTAAACGTTGTCCCTGTCCTTTTCCTCATCATTTTCCTCCTCGTCGTCGTGGTTGTCGTCATCGTCCGCCGCCTCCTCCTCCTCATCAGCATCATCATCACCACCATCATCATCATCATCAGCATCTCATCATCACCAGCATCATCATCATCATCATCATCATCATCATCATCATCATCATCATCATCATCACCATCGTCACAACCACCATCATCATCCACCACCACCACCATCATCATCATTGCCCTCATCGTCTTCATGTTCCTTTTCCTCATTTTCCTCGTCGTCGTGGTCGTGGTGGTCCGCCTCCTGTTCATCCTCCTCCTCCTCATCCACCTCCTCCTCATACTCTCGACCGCGCTCGGGCCCCACGAATGGCCTGAAGAGGCCATCCAAGGCCACCCCTTTGCTCCCAAATCTCTCTGTTCACCCTGATTGCCCGTCGCGTTTCACTATATGTGTCTACTCGTCCCTTTTCCCGACAGCTCTCATGGGCAGGGTTTCCGAATCGGCTGGTGGGGATACTTTTTTGATCTGCGGCCCGCAAGGAAGAGTCCAGAGGGCGTGTCAATCGGGCTGACTGGGGCACAGAGCCAGATAATTTGCGAACCCTGCTGTCACTGTCGACAGCCGACCGCACATGCAACATGCAGAACAAATTGGGGAAAACGGGCAGACGGAGGCAACACGCCTAAGAGATGCAGACCGCCTGTCGACAGCCAGCCGCACGTGGCGACGCACGTGGCGCTGGTGGGGATTCGCTCATCATGAAGAATTACAACAACATCGCAAACAAAATGACGACTGGAGCCAGAGGCCCCATCTTTTCGCGGCATTATAAGTCGCCCCCTGGGCCCCAAAACGAGCGAACGCGCAAGGTGTGAAAATTATCCTGGCGAAGGACCCAACCATATGCAGTTGTGAATGCCGCAATTGTGAATGCCATCTTCGCCTGCGCTCCCTATGTGGCCACGGCTTCCCGCCGGAGCCCGACATGCTCAGGGACACGTTCGTGGCCGTCTTCGCGGGCGCCGACGACGACAAGGACGGCGTCCCTCTCACCGAGGAGCAGAAGCAGGAGAAGGCCTTGAGAGCCATGAGGGAGGAGGTGGCGTTGCACGTCGACAAGGCGGAGTACGACGCCCATGCGCGGTTGTTGAAGCAGCGCAACTATGGGGCCACGATCCTCGTGAGGGATGTGCCGCTATGGCCCGGGGCCGCCATGCGAACCCTGCCACTGGCGCCTTCGGTGGAGCTCCAGTGGGGCCACGGTCCTCGTGAGCCGAAATGGCCCGAGGCCGCCATGCGAACCCTGCCACTGGGGCCTTCGGTGGAGCTCCCCATAGGGCCACGATCCTCGTGAGGGGTGTGCCGAAATGGCCCGAGGCCGCCATGCGAACCCTGCCAGTGGGGGCCTTCGGTGGAGCTCCCTATGGGGCCACGATCCTCGTGAGGGGTGTGCCGAAATGGCCCGAGGCCGCCATGCGAACCCTGCCACTGGCGCCTTCGGCGGAGCTCCCTATGGGGCCACGATCCTCGTGAGGGGTGTGCCGAAATGGCCTGAGGCCGCCATGCGAACCCTGCCACTGGGGGCCTTCGGTGGAGCTCCCTATGGGGCCACGATCCTCGTGAGGGGTGTGCCGAAATGGCCCGAGGCCGCCATGCGAACCATGCCACTGGCGCCTTCGGTGGAGCTCCCTATGGGGCCACGATCCTCGTGAGGGGTGTGCCGAAATGGCCCGAGGCCGCCATGCGAACCCTGCCTCTGGGGCCTTCGGTGGAGCTCCCTATGTGGCCACGATCCTTGTGAGGAGTGTGCCGAAATGGCCCGAGGCCGCCATGCGAACCCTGCCACTGGCGCCTTCGGCGGGGCTCCCTATGGGGCCACGATCCTCGTGAGGGGTGTGCCGAAATGGCCCGAGGCCGCCATGCGAACCCTGCCACTGGAGCCTTCGGTGGAGCTCCCTAGGGGGCCACGATCCTCGTGAGGGGTGTGCCGAAATGGCCCGAGGCCGCCATGCGAACCCTGCCACTGGCGCCTTCGGTGGAGCTCCTATGGGGCCACGATCCTCGTGAGGGGTGTGCCGAAATGGCCAGAGGCCGCCATGCGAACGCTGCCAATTGGGCCTTCGGTGAAGCTCCCTATGGGGCCACGATCCTCGTGAGGGGTGTGCCGAAAGGGCCCGAGGCCGCCATGCGAACGCTGCCACTGGCGCCTTCGGTGGAGCTCCCTATGGGGCCACGATCCTCGCGTGGGGTGCGCCGAAATGGCCCGAGGCCGCCATGCGAAACCCTGCCATTGGGGGCTTCGTGAGCTCCCTTATTGTGCGCCACGATCCTCGTGAGGGCGTGTGCCGAAAATGGCCCGAGGCCGCCATGCGAACCCTGCAACTGGCGCCTTCGGTGGAGCTCCCTATGAGGCCACGGTCCTCGTGAGGGGTGTGCCGAAATGGCCCGAGGCCGCCATGCGAACACTGCCACTGGCGCCTTCGGTGGAGCTCCCTATGGGGCCACGGTCCTCGTGAGGGGTGTGCCGAAATGGCCCGAGGCCGCCATGCGAACCCTGCCACTGGCGCCTTCAGTGGAGCTCCCTATGGGGCCACGATCCTCGTGAGGGGTGTGCCGAAATGGCCCGAGGCCGCCATGCGAACCCTGCCTCTGGGGCCTTCGGTGGAGCTCCCTATGTGGCCACGATCCTCGTGAGGGGTGTGCCGAAATGGCCCGAGGCCGCCATGCGAACCCTGCCACTGGAGCCTTCGGTGGAGCTCCCTATGGGGCCACGATCATCGTGAGGGGTGTGCCGAAATGGCCCGAGGCCGCCATGCGAACCCTGCCATTGGGGGCCTTCGGTGGAGCTCCCTATGTGGCCACGATCCTCGTGAGGGGTGTGCCGAAATGGCCCGAGGCCGCCATGCGAACCCTGCCACTGGCGCCTTCGGCGGGGCTCCCTATGGGGCCACGATCCTCGTGAGGGGTGAGCCGAAATGGCCCGAGGCCGCCATGCGAACCCTGCCACTGCAGCCTTCGGTGGAGCTCCCTATGGGGCCACGATCCTCGTGAGGGGTGTGCCGAAATGGCCCGAGGCCGCCATGCGAACCCTGCCACTGGAGCCTTCGGTGGAGCTCCCTATGGGCCACGATCTTCGTGAGGGGTGTGCCGAAATGGCCCGAGGCCGCCATGCGAACCCTGCCAGTGGGGCCTTCGGTGGAGCTCCCTATGGGGCCACGAAGCGGTGGGTGAAACGCAGGGATGAAGAGGAGGAAGGGGGCAGCGGGAGGAGGAGTGGACGCGGGCGCTGTCTCTTCAAAACGAGGACCCAACACCACAGGATGGTTGGGAAAAAGGACGAGACCTGATCTAAGGGCTTGATCCTGGGCCCCCCCGCACCTCACCAGGTGGAACCCACTCGAAGTGGAGCAGCGCGGCCCCGTCCGTCGCGAAGGGGTCGTCACAGTGGCTGTGCGGCACAGCACGGTACATGCCGCCGACGCGCAGGCCCAGCTCGCGCACCTCGTAGTCCTCCTCGGCGCCCGCGAGGCCGAGCGGCACGCTGCGCACCACCACCGGACACGGCCCCTCGCCTCCAGAAGAGGGAACGTCTGCATGAGCATAAGCATTCTCGGAGGTCCGCGCGGACCTCGAGGGTGAACGCCGAGCAGAAGCGGGCACCACGCACAACGGCATCACGACGACCTCACGTGGTGGCTTACGCGGGCCGCCAGCGCGGCACGCCACATTGGAGACAGGGGTGCTCACGCGCGACCTTGCGCGCGACCTCATGCGGGCAGCTTACGCGCGCATGTCCGCACGGTCGAACCGTTCCTTCTGCGTCGAACAAGTGGAGGCACGATTTTGGCACACAATCCCGACAAACAAGCTGGACTGGACACAAGGCCTCGGAGCGGGGGCTGTGTACAAGGATGGCATCCACTGGGAACACTGTTTTTTGCACACCATCCCCTCAAACGGCTGACCCTGCACAAGGCACGCGCGCGGAGGCGGTGGTCATAAATGGGCCCGCGATCTTGGAACGGCGATGGAAATTTGCGTGCCAGAAAGGCGGCCCCGGGGAGCCCACCGCCGATCCGAGAGATACGCGCGGACCTCCGAAAGCTTATGCTTATGCTGGTGCTTCTTCTTCTCTTCATAAGAATACTATGAGTATTCAGATTACCGCTGTTGATAATACAATTACTACTGCTACTACTACTATTAGTAATACTACTACTACTACTACTACTACTACTACTACTACTGCTACTACGACTACTACTGATATTGCTGCTATTACTACTACTACCACTACCACTACCACTACTACTACTACTACTACTACTACTACTACTTCTACTACTACTACTACTTCTACTACTACTACAACTACTACTACTACTACTACTGACTACTAACATTACTGCTACTATCATTACTACTACTACTACTACTACTACTACTACTACTACTACTACTACTACTACTACCACTACTACTACTACTACTACTACTACTACTACTACTACTCTACTCGTATTAGTAGTAATATGATATCTATATGATACCAGAGAAGAAACCCAATACATTTCTTGTTAGGGCTGTAGGGCTATAGGGCTATATGGGCTATAGGGCTATTGGGCTATATGGTAATAGAGCTACAGGGCTATAGGGCTACAGGGTATAGGGCTATAGGGCTATAGGGTTATAGTGCTATAGGGCTATAGGGCTATAAGCCGATAGGGATATAGGGCTATGAGGCTATAGGGCTACAGGGCACCGGGCACCCGGGCACCCGGCACCCGGCACCCGAGCACCCACCCGGGCACCGGGCACCCGTCACCTGGGCACCCGGGCACCCGGCACCCGGCACCCGGCACCCGGGCACCCACCCGGGCACCGGGCACCCGTCACCCGGGCACCCGGGCACCCAGGCATCCGGGCACCCGGGCCCCGCCACCGAATCGGCGGCGAACCCGGGCACCCGGGCACCCGGGCACCCAGGCACCCGGGCCCGGCCACCGAATCGGCGGCAAACCCGGGCACCCGGGCAACCGGGCACCCGGGCACCCGGGCCCGGCCACCGAATCGGCGGCGCACCTCACCTACCCTTAATCCGCTAAGACCCCTACAGAGGCAAGCTCTGATTGGGGAATGTTCGTTGTGGTCCGTTTCATCAGCATAGTTGTTGATATAACTGTTCTAGTGTTCTTCTTATGCTTATTACTTCCCGTCTTCCAAATACAGCTCCAAATGCTGATATGTGTTACCATAAGTCGTGGTTTTAGTACTACTATGATTAATATCAATATGATTGTTGTTATTACGCGAGCCTCCGCCGAAGCACGCGACGACCCGGCGGGCGGCGCCCTGGGTGCCATGAAGAACACGGGCCCTGGCGGAAACGGGTCCTGGTCCCCGTGGCCATCCCCCAGGACCAGCTCTTCAGCCTGAGTCATCTTGTTGACGGCCCTGGAGTTCAGGAACGCCCAGTGCGAAAAAACTTAGGACCCCGTTCCCTCAGGACTCGTTTGCTTCATTGACTGCCTACCAGACCACCCCAATCCAACCCGAAGACTCGAATTTCGAGTGGGGGGGTACGGGTTCCATCTGTGCTTGTCAAAATTCCCCGACGCCCCCCCCCACTGGGAATGGAGGGCAAATCGAGGCCTTCGGGTTGGGTTAGGGTGGTTTGGTGGGCGGTGGTGATTCATTGAGGGGCAACGTTAGGGGGGGAACTGGTTCGCATCGGCGACACATTGCAGATGGATAGGCGAGTGGCCCCCGATAGCGAATGCGCACGCTCCTGGGCGGGGCGGGCTATCGGGCCTCTATCGGCGATGTGGGTGGCGATGCATCTCCCCCTGAGAATATCCCTTCCCCAATGGTTTCTGGGCCATACGTCGGCCCTCCGACAGCCGTTCGGGACGATCCCGGCACTCCCGCAACGCCCTCGGCGAGGCGCAGCCGCTGGGGAGCACCCTGGGGCAGGGCAACCACCGAGAACTACCGACAACGCCCGAAAACCTTGAACCTCGAACCTGTCGTCCCCCCTGATGGAAACCTCCCAAGCGGGATCCGAGGGACGGAGGATGCATCCCCGATGCATCACTGACACTGGCGACGTCGGCGTTGCATCGGCACCGTCGGCCACGAGAAAATCTGGCTACACATCGAAACGCATCGCCGATGCATCGGCGATACGGCGCGACCCTCCGACCACATGTGCTAGGACCCCATGCAGGAGGCCTGGAGTGGTTTTCCGGGCATCACTCGGGCGCCTCAGGCGGCCGTTCGGGACGATTCTGGCCCCCCCCCGGAACGCTCTCGACGAGGCGCGGCTGCTGGAGAGCAATCCGAGGCGGGAAAGCCTTCACAAAGGCCTGGATATCCCTCACATGGGAGGCCATCCCTCACATGGGAGGCCTAGCTATCCCCCCCTGACGTTGCCCCTGGCAGGACCCGCTCGCTTCACGCCGGCCTGGGCAAGCTGCAGCCCGCCTGGCGAGCCCGCCAACGGCGCGCGCGGCCCGCTCAACGCCCGCGCGACGCAGGCGGGGAGCGCGTCGAGCTCGCGCGCGCGGACCGCGCGCCGGTTCTGCTGCAGGAACTCCTCGGGAAGGCGCAAACCCTGCGTCGTGAGTATATATATACACATATATATATGTGTGTATATATACACACATATATATATATATATATATATATATATATATATATAACATATATATGTATACATGAATGCATGCATGCATGCATGCATTCATACATACATACATACAAAAATACATACATGTATACATGCATACATGCATACATGCATACATGAATGCATGCATACATGCATACATGCATACATGCATACATGCATACATGCATACATGCATACATGCATACATGCATGCATATACATACATACATACATGCATGCATGCATACATACACACACAGACACACATACCTACATACATGCATGCATACATGCATGCATACATGCAGATGTACATTAATGCATACATACACACATACATGCATAGATACATGCATGTATACACTCAGTCATTCATTCATTCATAAATATAGGCATAACTACATACATACATACACTCATACATGCATACATGCTTACATGCATACACACACCTACATACATACATAAATATATACATACATGCATACATACAGATATGCAGACAGACAGACAGACAGACAGACGGACGGACAGACAGACACGCGTACCTACACACACATATACATACATGCGTGCATGCATACACACAAACATACGTATATACAGACATACGTGCATGCATACATACATGCAAACGTACATGCATGCATAAATACATTCAAACATACGTGCATATAGACATACAGACACACATACACACATACACACATTCATATATACATACAAACATACATGCATACCGGTATACACGTACGCACACACATATACATCTACATATACAACCACACGTGCACAAGCATATACAAATGCATATACACAGACATATGCAACGAATTACACACATACATATACACACATACATACATGTACAAATACACCTATATACATATATATATATATATACATACATATACATGAACATCTACATATACAAATAACTATGCATGTGCATGCACATTCAAAAATACAAATACATAGACACACGTGTATCCATATACATGCACATATACATTCACATACACACATGGATACACATTTGCATATGCGTATTCATTCACATTTGCATATGCCTGTAAATATACATAAACATAACGCATATCCACATACATACACATAAACATATACATACAATATGCATCAACATATATATCGTACGCACTTATCCGAGGGAGTAGAGATCCGCAGCGATTAATTGTGAAATCGCGTTTCTTGTGTCTGGCTGTTTCGCTCGGGAAATCCTCAGCATTCTAAAAAAAAACTGGCGCACCCCTCACTCAGATCGCGACGTAAACGGAATTCCAGAATGTGGAAACATGTGTTTCGAACTTACCCAATGCGCCTGGGAAATATGCAACAATCCAGCCCTTTTCTTTTTTCAACACGACTATTGGAAAAGAGCTCCGCCAGAGACATCCTCCCAAAATCGAGCCCCGACGCACAACACACACGCACACACAAAACAGACAGAACGCACACACACACACACACCACACACACACAGAACACACTCACACACACAGGAAACACTTACACACACGAACACCCGCACACCTAACACATGCACAAGATACAACACACCCAACACAAGCAGCACACACACAACGCAAACACACAATTCACCAAACACACACATTACACACAAAACACACAGTCTACACCGAACTCACACATGACCACAAGCACATCACACGCATATAGCACACAACATACGTAACACACACACACACACACAAACAAACAAACACACAAACACACACACACACACACTGATTACCCAAAACACAGAAAGGGCGCGCCGCTGGATCTCCCCAACGGGGGGTGGGGGGGGGAACCCTCCCCCCCTTCCCCGATCCGTCGTCGGGGACCACCACTCCCCTTTCCCGATCCGTCGTCGGACCCCCCCCTCCCCCCTTTCCCGATCCGTCGTCGGGCACCCCCCCATCCCCCCTCTCCCCCCCTTTGGCAGCTAAATTCGAGCCCCCCCATTTCGCCACGGCGCCCCCGGAATCCAGAACCCGACCCCTGCCACCCCCTTAACACTAATCCTCACCCTTACACTAACCCCTAACCCTAACCCCAAACCGTAACCCTAGCCCCGAACAGTACTCACTACTCATTACGCAGTACTCACTACCCACTACTCACTACTCGCTACTCACTACTCACATCTCACTATTCACTACCCACTACTCACGACTCACTACTTACTGCCCACTAATCCCGACCCACTACCCACTACTCACTATTCCCTACTCCCTACTCCCTACTCACTATTCACTACTAAAGACTCACTACTCACTACCCACTACTCAATACTCACTACTCACTAAACACACCTCACTGCCCACTACTAACTACACACGATTCACGACTCACGACCCACTGACCACTATCCACTACTCACTACTCACTACTCACACTTCACTGCTCACTACTCACTGCCCACAACTCACTACTCATTATCCACTACTCGCTACTCGCTACTCCCTACTCCCTACACAGTAATCACTACTCACTACTCACCACTCGCTACACCCTGTTCGCTACCCAATACGCACTATTCACTACCCACTACTCACTACTCACAACTCACTACTCCCTACTCACTAGTCACTAGTCGCTCGACACTACTCGCTAATCTCTACTCTCTACTCAGTACTCACTACTCACTACTCACGAATCACCACTCAGTATTCACTACTCTCTACTCGCTTCTCACTACTCACTACCCACTACTAGCTATCCAACCCTCCTTTCTAACTACTCACAACTCACTACTCAGTACTCCATACTAACTACTCACTACCACTATTCACTACTCGCTAACCCCTACTCGCTACTCACTACTCACGACTCACTACTTTCTACTGACTGCTCCCTCCTCACTACTCACTACTCACAATGCCCTAGTTGCTACTCACTGCTCACTACTCGCTACTCACTACTCGCTACTCACTACTCACTACCCACTACCCACTGCACACTATTCATTACGCACCACGCACTACTCACTACGCACAACTCACCACTCACTACGCACAACTCACCACTCACTACTCACTACTCACTATTCCCTACGCATTACCCACTACTACCTAACCTCTAGTCACTACGCACTAGTCACTACTCGACTCACTACTCACTACTCACTACTCATTATGCACTACCCACTACCGACTACACACTACTCAGTACTTACCACCCACTACTCACTACCCACTACTCACTACTCACTACTCCCTACTCCCTACTCCCTACTCAGTACTCACTACTCACTACTCACTACTCACTACTCATTACTCGATACTCACTACTCACTAATCAGTACTCACCACCCACTCTTCACTACTTTGCAATCCAGTACCCAACACTCACTATTCACGACCCACTACTCCCAACTCCCTACTCCCGATGCCTTACTCGCTACTCACTACCCACTACTCACTATTCACTAGCAGCTCTTCACCACGCACTACTCACTACTCACTACTAACTACTTACTACACACTATTCCCTACTCCGTACTCCTTACCACCTTCTCCGGCGCAGAAAAGACGAGGGGGAGATGCCCCGTCCCCCCCTCCCCGGCCCCCTGTTCGGCGCAAAGGGGGGGAGGGTCCGACCCTCCCCCCCCTTCCAGCGCCAAGGGAGGGAGGGGGGGGGGGGCCGGACACCCTCCCCCCTCTTCAAGGGGGGAGGGGGTCGGATCCCCCCTCAAGGGGGGGAGGGGGAGAGGGTCGAAAATCTCATCCCCCCTTCAAAAGGGGAGAGGGGGGAGGGTCTGCGAGCACACCCCCCCTTTTCAATTACAGGGTGATCCTGTGGCGCGTTTTCCAAAACACACACACACACACAAACACACACACACATTCTACACATCTGTTTGTATGGGCCTGGGCACACACGTACAACTTGTATATGTATAGATATATACACATATGTGTCTGTATTTCTTTTCTTTCGGGCGATTTCACAGCCCCTGGTGACTCTGATCTACTTTGGCTTCCGTTCACCTACGTTGCACTAGCTACCGCCCGTTTTGTATACATATATGTATACAAAACGGGCACACATATGTGTACATACACATATAAATATACACACACACGTGTCGCCCGACATATATATATATATAATAAAAAATGTGGAACTACACACACTTATATATATATATATATATATATATATATATATATATATATCGGAGGTGAGGGGGTGAGATCGAAGTGGAACGGAGAGCCCCCCTACCGGGAAATCGATTTCGGTTTCGTTCGTGCATGCGTGCCGTGCGGGCGAGGCGAAGCTGCGTGGGCGGGCGAGAGAAAGTCTCCTGTGGCTGAGGCGCGGCCGGACCAAATGTCTCCCTTCCGGGCGGCCGGGGGCCCGCGGTGTCCCGCCGGTGTCCCGCTGGTGTCCCGTGTGGCTGAGGCGCGGCCGACCAAATGTCTCCCTTCCGGGCGGCCGGGGGCCCGCGGTGTCCCGCCGGTGTCCCGTCGGTGTCCCGTCGGTGATGATGATGATATGATGATGATGATGACGATGATGATGTTGACAACGATGATGATGATGGTGATGATGATGGTGGTGATGATGGTGAGTTCGGTAGTGAGATCGATAGTGAGACCGAATGTGAGATCGATTGTGAGATCGATTGTGAAATCGATAGTGAAGTCGATAGTGAGACCCAATGTGAGATCGATAGTGAGATCGATAGTGAGTTCGATAGTGAGATCGATAGTGAGACCGAATGTGAGATCGATTGTGATATTGATTGTGATATCGATAGTGAGATCGATAGTGAGATCGAACGAGAGGTCGATCATGACTTCGATAGTGAGTTCGATAGTGAGATCGATAGTAAGATCGATTGTGAGCCCGATTGTGAGATCGATTGTGATATCGATAGTGAGATCGATAGTGAGACCGAATGTGAGATCGATTGTGAGATCGATTGTGAGATCGATCGAATGAGATCGATAGTGATATCGGTAGTGAGATCGATCGTGAGACCGAATGTGAGATCGATCGTGAGATCGATAGCCAGATCGATTGTGAGATCTATTGTGAGATCGATTGTGATATCGATAGTGAGGTCGTTAGTGAGATCGAGTGTGAGATCGATAGCCAGATCGATTGTGAGATTGATCGAATGAGATCGATAATGAGATCGATAGCGAGATCGATAGTGAGATCGATCGAGTGCGACGGTGGTCCCCCACCTTCGCCTTCTTATCACCCGAAGGGTGGTCTTTGCGGTATACATATATATACATATATATATATATGTATACATCCTTCGCCAGACAACGCTCTCCCAGGACTGCACATTTTTCTGTGTGAGGCGCAGATCTGGCTGCAGTTACCGATGCCACGAGAGGCTGAGCATACTGGCACGAGATGCATCAGCAGGACTGGCAGGCACAGCCAGGTGGTTCAAAGAGGAAAAGAAAACAGGGGAGGGAGGGAGGGAGCGACTTCAGCATAAGTATGGCACCGTGCGCAGGAGACATCAGTTCGGGTCCCTTGTCCCGTTCGGGAGAGAGCGGGACTGATACCAGGACGACCGTTCGCAGAACTACAATCCTTCGCCAGACAACGCTCTCCCAGGACTGCACATTTGTTCTGTGTGGGGCGCAGATCTGGCTGCAGTTACCGAGGACACAAGCGGCCGACGCCTTCGCGTCGTGGAAAAATCGCGACGGGCGACCGCTAGCCATTTTCGGCCTCCAGGGGCACTCCCTGGGCCGAAAAGCTGGTCTCTGCATTGGCAGGGCCCCCAGATCTCCAGGGAGCCACGTGACGCAAAAAAGGCACGAAGGCGCACCTCTGGGACCGGAAACTCGTGGCGCCCAAAACCTGGGTCGCGAGGCGGCAGAAGCTTCCGGGAGGTCCCTCGCGAAGGAGCTCGGGAGCCTCTGTAGAGGAGCTGCTGGAGAGCTTCACGGCACACGCAATTGGGGAACAGGCACGACGTCCCGTGCCTGGGACCGTACACCTGCACCTCTGGAGCATCGTGGAAACAGGCCTCGGAAGAAATCAACGACCACTCATGCCACATTCATGTCTCAATGCCGCGCCCCCCATGACCGATAGGCGGTGGTTTGTTTGAGTTGAGTTGAATTTTGGGGGGCAGGGGAGTGTCCACTGATTGTTTCCCTCTACCAACTGATCCCGATCCCCACTGGCATCGCCTTGGCCGCACTGGCCGAGTGGTCGCCCTACGTCATGGGGTGTACGCTGTTTCCTTCGGGTTCCGCGGGGCCGATCCCGCCTGGTGGGGCTGGGCAGGTGTGTCTAAGATACCATGGCCCAGTGGGGATGGGGTGCGGTTAATCGATTCGATGATCCTCAGAACGTGTGTTGGCCCCAACGTGTGTTGTCCACCGAGGCCCTTCGATACGACGCAGGCGACGTACTGATCTACTGGCTGGGCTGAAGGGGGCAGACACACATTGGGCTAACACACGTCCTGAGGATAGTCGATGAACGATGCTGCCTTACACCGGTCCTGGGACCAGGATCGGCCAGGCGGGCCTGAGCTGGACCGAATCGGGAAACCGAATCGGATCGGAAACGGATCGGATCGCCAGCGGATCGCCCCGAGCCAAAGCAAAACTGGATCGCCGCGCCTGGACCCCAGGCTACCCCGACCGATGCTCGTGAATGGGACCGAAACGAATTGAATCGGAATCGCGGCCGCAGTCCCAGGCATGCGATGTCTTTTGGAAGCTGGGCGAAGGCTGGCAAATCCGTGGCTGCTAAAACGGTCTTCCCAGAAGGAAACAAGAAACTCCCGGAATCAAACTCAGCGCACCAACTGATAAACGGGCTGTTTCCCGGAAGGAAAAAAAATATCCCAGTGCGACCCTACCTAGGAGTTGGAGCCCCTAAGAAAGCAGCATTAGTAGCAACAGTAAAACTAAGCTAAAACTAAGTTAAAGCTAAAGCTAAAGCTAAGCTGAAGCTAAGCTAAAGCTAAGCTAAAGCTAAGCTAAAGCTGAGGAAAAGCTAAGCTAAAGCTAAGCTAAAGCTAAGGCAAAGCTGAGGTAAGCTAACCTAAAGCTAAAATAAAGCTAAGCTAAAGCTAAGCTAAAGCTAAGCTAAAGCTAAGCTTAAGCTAAGCTTAAGCTAAGGTAAAGCTAAGCTAAAGCTAGGCTAAAGCTAAGCTGAAGCTAAGCTAAAGCTGAGCTAAAGCTGGGCGATAGCTAAGCTAAAGCTAAGCTAAAGCTGAGCTAAAGCTAGGCTAAAACTAAGCTAAAGCTAAGCTAAAGCTAAGCTGAAGCTAAAGCTAAAGCTAAAGCTGAATCTGAAACTAAGCTGAAGCTAAGCTAAAGCTAAACTAACGCTAAACTAAAGTTAAGCTAAAGCTAAGATAAAGCTAAGCTAAAGCTAAATATAAAGCTAAATATAAAGATAAATATAAAGCTAAAGCTAAAGCTAAAGCTAAGCTAAACTAGGCTAGGCAAAGCTAAGCTAAGCGAAGCTAAGATGAGATAAGCTAAGCTAAGCTAAGCTAAGCGAGAGCTAAGCTAAGCTAATATGAGATCAGATAAGCTAAGCTAAGATGATGTAAGCTAAGCTAAGCCAAGCTAAGCGAAGCTAAGCTAGGCTAAGTTAAGCTAAGCTAAGCTAAGATGAGATAAGCTAAGCTAAGCTAAGATGATATGAGCTAAGCTAAGCTTAGCTCAGCTTAGCTAAGCTAAGCTGGGTGAACCCAGGGGGGCGCAACTGGGGGAACCGCGGGGCGGGGACTGGGGGAACCGCCCGGGGCGCTTTCCACTGCCCGGCCCCATTAAGCTAGAGAGTAAGAACCCTTCTAGGCAGAGCCTAGGTAGGGAACAATCTCCCGGGGTTCCATCTTAGCAGCCACGGATTTGCCAGCCGTCACCTGGCTTCAGAGTCTTGATTTTTCCATTCCGGGGACCCCGGAAGTCCCGACCCTTTTCGGGGAGACGTAAGACTCGGGTACGGGGGACTCGGGTTGGCCTGACAGGGCCATCATAAAAATGACGAGACCCAATCAGAAATTTGACGCGAACTCCCGCTGCAAAAATCCCACGAAAACTGGACCGTCAAAATCCAGGACGCGCTCGTCAAAAAACGTCGGCAAACCCGAGTTCCAGCTTACCCGAGTCTTACGTTTCCCCGACCTTTCCCCAGGGCCAGTCTTCGTCTCGACTCTCCCAGGGCCTGCCGAGGGCCCCGGTAGGCCAAGAATTGCCGAAGACATGCTGCCGTGACTTTCTGCACGACTCGAGCACCTCTGCGGCCCCGGCTGGCGAATCGAATCGCAGCGGAAGCGAATACGCAGTGCTCCCTGACTCTCCACCTTCAACGCCGTTCGACCAGCAGGTAAATGGTCGCAGCCACGCAGAGGGCGTGCGTAGCGACGCCCCGAATGCTCGGTCTCCAGTACTTCTACGTGGCGGCGCCCCCGCAGGCACGCAGAGGGCACGCGTGGCGACGGGGGCGTCGCCACGCAGAGCTTCTAAAGACCAAACATTTTGAAAACCAATTGTTTCCATTACTAAAGTAGTGATCTCCGAGGGAGGGGAAGCCGCATAAACATAAACGTTCCAAGCTCCGAGCGGATTTCTTGGATCGACGCTGGCCCCGTAACGGGGTCTCCAGCGCCGCCCCTGACGCACTCCGCGCGCTAGGGAGGGGGGGGGGTCCAGCGCATACTCAAGCCTCGAGGAGATCCCGAAAGTCGGCCACCTGCTGATCGGAAGGTGTGGATCAGCGTCGAGCGAGGGGGGGGAGTGAGAAGGAGAAGGCCCTGCCAGAAGGTTCGGAAGTGCCCCGGCCTCCTGAGAAGTTTTCTGAGCCCTCTGCGGAGACACAGAAAACCTCCCAGAAGGCGCGAGGGCCACTGAGAAGTCCCGCCGCCTTCTGAGATGGCACTCTCCTTCTCATTCCCCCCCATCGCTCGCCGCCGAAAGACGTTCCACTACTCGCAGTGTAACCACTCGCAGAAGGCCTGGATGTGCTGCGGGGGATTTCCTATCCATGACACATCGAGACGACCATGCGGTTTTCGGGCGTTTGTGAGTATGCACTTTGCGAGTAGTGGAACGCGCTCGGTGAAAGGTGTGGAAGATGGTGAGCATAGGTTCAAGTAGGGAGATCGACTACAAAACTGACTCACCCCAAACTGGATTTGCCCGTCGAACCTGCGAACAACTACGCAGACAGCTCGCAGATGTGCGGAACGGGCTTCGCATGTCCCCTGGAAAGAAAAAAAAAACTGGGGCAAGCAACCTCTGCAGCCGATCCCCCTACTCGAGGGCGTCAGCTCCTGCAGCGCCGCGCTCAGCTCCCCGACCTCGCTCGGGTGGAGGGCCACGAGCGGGTCCCCGGGCCGCTGCAGCCGCGAGGCCCAGAGCTCCAGGCTGGGCGGCAGGCACCCCGGGCCGTGCACGGCCTGGAACGCCTCCTCTGCCGGGCGAGGGCTCGCCGACGCCGCCCCGGACCCACCCCCCCCCGAGGCATGAAAGACTCCCAGGGGGCGAGCGAGGGGGGGGAATAGTGCGAGGCGGCGGAGCGGCCTTCTCAGAGGGCGGCGGGGCTCCTCAGAAGCCCTCGCGCCCTCTGCGGCTTCGGGGAAGGCTCGGAAAACGTCTCTCGGGAGGCCGTGGGACTTCAAAGCCTTCTGAGAAGGCCCGCCCCTTCTCACTTCCCCCCCCTCGCTCACCGCCGAAGATCACAGTGGGAGGTCGTTCTTAACTTTCGGCCTCGTGGGGCCCCTCGCGAGGCCCCGGAACCGTCAAAAAACTAGTCAAGATGAGGAGCTGGTCCCCGGGAATGGGTCGAGACCTCTGGGGGTCGACGCTATGAAAAATCATGACGTCCGGGGTCTGGGGTCGACACAGCGGCGCCACCTCCCCCTCCCACGGCGTGTTCTGTCCCCCTGTGGGGGGGCCTCCTGAGGGTCCTCGTCACCACGACTGGATCCGCCTGATAAAACCAGGTCGGGATGGAACCCAGGAGAGCTCTGGAGGCCGATTTTGACCAGCTGTCGGCCAGGCGGGAGGCCCAAACATCCTCCGATGCCTTGCTCGATGCGCTGGGGAAACCAAAAGGTACCGATACCGCGCTACTCCCCGAACCTCTCCCGGGGTGCGTTCTGGCAAGAATTTCGAGGCGAATCCAGCGGTGGCAACGAGGGCCGCCCAGGAGACCCAAAAAGGGGAAAACGGCCAGGGGGGTAGAGGCATAGGTACCTTCTCCTCCTCTGACGGGAGGCCCAAACATCCTCCGATAGCTCGCTCGATGCTCGGGAGCGGCCAAGAGGGGGTGTCCAAGAGGGGGGGGGTGCAAATCATGACCGGCTGCATGTGCGCGGCCCAGCGGGGGGGCCAGGGACGTAATGAAATAAGAAGGGGCGCCATGAAATCTGGGAAAAAATCATAGCCCCCGCCATGATATCCCCCCCTAGTCATCACCCCTCTCTTTTCCGCCCCCGAGATGCGCGGCCCCCGCAGGAAGGTCCCGAGCCCTCCCCGGGGGCCGCTTCCCATCCCGGGAACCAGCTCTGCCGGCCCGGGGGGGGGGCCGCATAGGGGCCCCAGAGACCGAGGATCGACGAAACACTGCTGGGCCTGGTTTTTCCACCACCACCACCACCACCATAAGTTGGAGGGGGGGAGGAGGAGGAGGAGGAGGAGGAGGAGGAGGAGGAGGAGGAGGAGGAGGAGGAGGAGGAGAGGAGGAGGAGGAGGAGGAGGAGGAGGGAGGAGGAGGAGGAGGAGGAGGAGGAGGACCCCTTCCCCCTCCAAGGTTGTGGTGGTGGTGGAAAACAGGCCCATCAAACACGCCCAGGCTGAGAGGATCGTGCCGTCGGAGATCTGGGGGGGAGCCAGCGTGGCGCCGACAGGTCGGCTGCGCGCAGGAGGAGGTGGCCCCGCAAGAGGGACCTCCAGTGCGCGGCCCCCAGGGCCGTATGGGGAGGCCAATATCCAGGGTTAGGTCGGGCATGTCCCCGTACAGGCGGATCTTGGACGAACAAAAAAAAAACTAAAAAGTAGACAAAAAATAACCAAGAATACAAACAAACAAACAAAAAACCTCCCCTGACTAGTTTTTGACTATTTTTGAATACTCCCCTTACTATTTTTGACTAGTTCTGACTATTTCTGACTACTTGGGGATATCTTTGACTATTAAGAAAAAACGTCCCCTGACTTGTTTGACTATTTTTGAATATTCCTCCTGCAGAGGGACAGGCCCGATCTAAATCCAGGGAGGGGTGCAGGCCGGTGCTGGGGGGAGCCCTTGGGGCCCGGACCAGGGGCCACTCCAGCGAAGGTCGGCGGCGAGCGAGGGGGGGGAGTGACCCTGACCTGAAGTCGGGCGTGTCCCCCTACAAGGGGATTTTCGACGAAAAATTAAAAATACTCCATAAATATTCAAAAGATGCCCAAAAATACTCAAAAATAGTCCCCTGACTATTTTTCTACGATTTTTGAGCATTCACCCTGCAGAGGGACAGGCCCGACTTAACCCTGACCCTCCAGAGGGCTAAAAAATAGCCCCCCCGGCCTACGGACCTATCTGAGTTGCTTCAAGTTTCGACAGGAATTTCGACGCCAAGGTCCTGGTGCTATTTTTTAGCCCTCGTGGAAGGCCAGGGTGAGAAGGGGCGGGCCTCCTCAGAAGGCTCGGAAGCCCCCCAGCCTCCTGAGAAAGCTTCTGAGCCGTCCCCGAAGGCACACAAAAAAAAAGCCCCTGGGAAGGCGCGGGGGCTTCTGAGGAGCCCCGCCGCCGTCCGAGCCCAGACCCCCGACGTCGTGACTTCTGTCGCAACGTCGACCCCCCCGAGGTCTGGACCCCTTCCCCAGGACCGGTTTTTCGTCCTGAGTTCGGGAGCGGCCAAGAGGGGGGTGTCCAAGAGGGGGGGGGTGCAAATCATGACCGGCGGCATGTGCGCGGCCCAGCGGGGGGGCCGGGGACGTAATGAAATAAGAAGAGGCGCCGTGAAATCTGGGGAGATTTCATGGCCCACGTCATGATATCCACCCCCCCCTAGTCATCACCCCCCTCTTTTCCGCCCCCGAGGTCTGGACCCCTTCCCCAGGACCGGTTTTTCGTCCTGGGTCGTTGTTTGACGGTCCCTGGGCCTCGGAAGGGCCCCCGGGGCAAACCTCCCGTCGTGATTCTCGTCACAACGCGGCGGGGTCCGGGGAGAAGCCCCGCCGCCCTCCGAGGGGGCCTTCTCCTTCTCACTTCCCCCCTCGCTCGCCGCCGAGAAGGGCCACCCTTCCGCCTAGCCTTGAAGATGCCACGACAATTCACACCCTAATAGTCTTTTCATTGAATTTAAATGTGTTTAAAATGTAGGAAAAAGTTTCAAAACATGCTTTAAACATGTTTAAAACATGTTTAAAACATGCTTCAGACATGTTTTAGACATCTGGAAATGATTTGGCAACATGCTTCCTCTCCATTGATCGTCCTCCACAATCGGCCACACGCAAGAGGGACCCTGGGCAAGAGTGACCTTTGGTGCGCGGCTCTTGGGAGGCCACGGGGGGACCAAACACAGGCGCGCAAGCCGCTACTATCGCCTCGCGTTCGGCGATCGGGGGACCCCATTGGGCCCGCACCAAAGGTCACTCTGGCGAAAGGTCACTCTTACGTGTAAACGACACAGGCCTAGCCAGCCTCCGTCCGGCCTCCCCCGATCCTGGATGCGGCACAGCAGCTCCTGCAGCTCCCCCAGGGCCATGTCGTCCAGGAGCCTGCGCGCCTCGGCCTGCTGCTCGAGGCGGAGCAGCAGCTCCACGCGCGGGTCGCCCTCGGCCAGCAGCGCGAAGTCCACCGACTTCACGGCCCCGGACGCGCGCGCTCGGCGGAGGTAGTCCTGGAGGGCCCCCCCCCCAAAAAAAGGACTCGGCCCGGAGATCCCCACAAGTGCATGCAGTCTCCTGGCGCTCTCCGCTGCGGGCGTCTGGGCACAAGAGAGTCTGGGTATGAGTGGGCCGAGTACGAGGGTCTCCGTACGGGTGAGCCCGAGTGCGAGCGAGTCTCAGCTTGAGTGAGTCTATAGGTCTGAATATGACTATGCCTAGTGTAGGTGTATATGAGCCCGAGTGGTCTGAATATGAGTGCGATTGACTCTGAGTACAAATAGTCCGAGAGGGAGCAAGCGTAAGGACAGAGGAGAGAAAGCGGCAAAAGGACAGCTCTTTCCTTCTCCTACTGCGTCCTCGTTTGTACTAAGCCGTCCTTTCTCCTCCTCCTCCACCTCCTCCTTCCTGGCGGCCATCCTTCCCCCTCACACCTGCGCCCTCCTCCTCCTCCTCCTCCTCCTCCCTCCTCCGTCCTCCGTCCTCCGTCCTCCGCCTGGCAAGTGTCCCCCTCCCTGGCGGCTCCTCCTTGGGGTGCCCACATGCACGATACGATTGCTTCATCGCGGCGCCCATGACGCTCGCAATAGAGAGAGAGGCCCGAGCCACCAAACAAGCAGAGCGCCCGAGACATCTCCCCACGCCGGCCGCGAACGGCGAAGTGACATGTACCCTGATGGCTCCCCCCGTTGGAGGTGCTGAAACCTGCACCTCGCCGGAGGCATCCTCACCATCTGCTGCGAGAGCAGAGCACGCTGGGCACCCGGACGCGCGCGATCCGCCAGACACACCCCCACCATCCGAGCGCGAACGGGCCCGTAAGCTAAGCTCTAGCAGGCTCCCTCTCAAGCGCTGAAAAACCGGCGCCTCGCTCGAGACATCCTCGGACTCTGCTCTGAACGCAGACGCGTCTGGCCACCAAGGCAAGCAAACCGCCCGAGGCATCCTCGCAAGCTGAGCCCCTGGCGGGGCTCAAAAAACACGCCTCGCCCGAGACATCCTCAGAAATCTGCTCTGAACGCGGACGAGTCTGGCCACCAAAATGAACCCGGCGCGACCCCAATCAGGGGAAAACTTCCTATTGCATGGGCGCAGTGCTTGGCATTGCGTGGCATTGTTTGGCATTGCTTGGCTCTTGTCATGTCTTAGCATTGCTCAGAACGGGCACAATAAGAATACGAAGCACCCGCGGGGGAGAACCAAGGGACAGCGGGGAACCCGAGGACCCCGGAGAACCTGGGGAACCCGGGAAACCCAAAGAACCCAGGGACTCCGGGGAACCTGGAGAGCCGAGAACCCGGGAAACCCGGGAAACACAAAGAACCAAGGGAACCATGGGGAACCATGGGGAACCCGAGGAGACCGGGAAACCTGGGGAACCTCCGAGCAACGGGCAAAGCAACCCCCCGAGGCACCAACTTTAACCAAGTAAGAACTCATTAGGCAAGCCTAATTGGGGAATAATAAGAATAATAATCCTCATCATCAGCAGCAGCATCATCATTATCATCATCACCAGAATCGTCATCATCATCATCATCATCATCATCATCATCATCATCATCATCATCATCATCATCATCATCATCATCACCATCATCATCATCGTCGTCGTCGTCGTCATCCTCTCATGTATAATCAGCATCATCATCATAATCTGCATCATCAGCATCATCATCATATCATTCAAAACCTGGGTAGTGACCCTGAGAATGACTCTGAGTGACACTGGTTAGTGAGGAAGTGGAGGAGGAGAAGGAGGGAGGTGTGAGGAGTCGGCGCGGTTGGAGTAACAACAAGAACCCCATCATCAGGAGATGGGGGAAAAAAAACGCTACCCCTGCAAAGCACCCTGCACTCAGAATCCAGAGCAAGGATGCTTAAGATAAGGATGCGAGACCCTCGAAGTCCCATTGACCGTTTAGAGCTGCTTGGACGTCGACATTGGCTCAGGATGGGCCACAGAAGCAGGGATGCCAGGGTTGCCTTGCTGAAGCAGCGAATCCATAATATGGAGTATGACTAAAACAGCATAGAGAAAACGTGTATTCCTGCGCATTCCTAAGGACTTGTAGGCGTGACAGGGGTGAGAGCACGGCCATGTGCATCGCAGTGTGTCTTGCAAAGAAGCGTGGCCGTGTAGCAGGGGTCAGAGCACGGCCACGTGCACCGTGGTGCGTGATAAGGAGAATAGAGGCCGTGTGACGAGGGTAAGATCACGGCCGGGTGCTGTGCGCCGCAGTGCTGTGTACAAGGCACCGTGGCCGCGTGACAGGGGGGAGAGCACGGCTATGTGCACCGAAAAAGGTATTCTGAACAAGGGACCATCTCCGTGCGCCCCCTCTGGTGAGGATCCTAATTATGGCTCTACCGCACGTTCGCGACCTGGGAAGGCCAGAATGTGAGGATCGTAGATGCTGACAAAGGAAAACAATTGCCAGACCAGGGCGGGCACCCTCTCCCCGTCCCCCCTTTGATGGGAACCCGACGGCCCTTCCACACGCTCGCGGCCTGGAAGGCTGGATTGGTGAGAACAATGCGTTTTTGTTACCAAGAGCAACTGCTGTTAAACCGGGGCGGGCGCCCTCTCTCCGTCCCTTCTGCGAGGCCCTGCGCGAACCTGTGACCTTCGTTAGAACCCTCAGAATCCGATGGCCTTGCCACATGGTCGTGACAGGAAAAAGCAGGAAAGGTGAGAATTTCAAATTGCTTCCCAAAGACAAACGGTGCAGGAACCCTCTCCCCGTCTCCCTTGCGATGAGAACCCGATGGCTTTGCCACACGGTCGTGACCGGGAAGGCTGGAATGGTGAAAAAATGTACTTTGCACAGACAGCAGTAGCTCACACATCAGTTACAAGGAAATGGGCCTCCCAGGTGCCTGCCGAGCTGGCTTGTGGTCGTCCCGTCGCCGCACCGTCGCCGCACCGTCGCCGCCCGTCGCCGCCCGTCGCCGCCGCCCCTGTGGCCCTGAGTGTTGGTCAGGCCGGCTTGTGGCTGCCCGTCTCCGCCCCGTCTCTGCACCGTCGCAGCACCGTCGCCTCGCCGCCCGTCGCCGCCCGTCGCCGCCGTCCGCTTTGCCCACCGGGCCGCCGGTCTGGCCAATTTGTGGCCGCCCGTCGCCGCAGCGTCTTGGTTGTAATTTTGACGGTGCGAACAGCCTCATCCCCCCCCCCCCCGGGAATTATCGGCACCTCCTGGGATAATACAAATCTGCCCCATCCCTCATTCTGCATACGAATCCATGGCATCCCAACAAGTACCACCATCGCCCCCGCACTCCTGCCAAATAGTACATTGCGCGCACTCGCTCATCACAAGACATCACGGCTCAATCATCCCTTGCCGAAAATTGAACAGTTATAACACGCGGGCGTCGTCGCGCGCGCATGTCGGAATCCTTCCAAGACATACAGACTTCGAAAGATTTCAAAGACTGACTTCTTGAAATATGTACAAACCAAACGTTGTCCAACGACCTCCCCCCAAAGATTAATGGGCGCACGCTTTTGCGAAATCTTCCGAGAAAAACCATCGATTGTTCAGCCAATTCGTCACATCGGACTCTCGCGCGCGCGCATGTCGAAGTCATTCGAATGCGTTTGCGCGAATGTTTGGCGGCACGATTTTTCCCAAATAGTACCATGCGGACCACGCGCGCGCGCGTCGGCAGCGCGCGCATGCAGAAATCCGCACAAAACCTTCATCAACGACGCATGGGCATCATCATCGTCGTCGGCGTTACCAGCATCGGCGCCGTCATTGGCCTTGCCGTCGTCATCGTCATCATCGCCACCACCATCGTTACTATCAACATCGTTTCTGGTGTTTGTTGTTCTTGTCAACGTCACCATGATACCGCGCCTGCCCGAGCCACCGACCGGCATTGGAGCGCCCGCGCGCCAGCGCGGCCTTTGCAACGCGGTGGGAAGCTCCACTCGGTAAGCGCTCTCGCGGCCACATCGGCTGCGCCAAAGCGGCTGGCCGCTGTGCGTGCGAACTTGCGCACGCCAGCGCGGCTGCGGACATGCGCCAGCCATGGCCAAGAAATCATGGCAACCGCTGCCGAATGGGCGTTGCAAACCGAATTGCGGGTGGGAGGGTGGGATGATTGCGAAGATTATGCTAAGCGGATTGCACCAGGTAGGTTACACCACCTAGCTTACACCGCATAGAATGGACCACAATGATTGCACCACACAGATTGCATCACGTAGTTCACACCGCATATGTTCCCCTGTCTTTTGAAAATTGATATACCCCCACCCCCTTCTGGACTTAAAGGATCCCTTTTTTCGCATTCCAAATTACATTCGACTCTGCCAAATCGTCCATACTTTATACAACCTCATATGATCGCAGCCAGACCAGTAACGGTTCTCCCCCCCCCACATCCTCTGCAACAAATACTGCGCGCACACTCGTTTATCAAAAATTATCCCTTGCAGAAATACGGGACGAATTACACACGCGCGCGTCGTGGCGCGCGCATGCCGAAATCCGTCAAAACATGAACAACCGTAACGATTAAGAAACCCAGTGCCCCGAACACGTATGGAAACACATGGTTCTGCAACATGAGATTTGAATCCCCCCTGAAAAAAGCTTCGCTCGCGCTCGTGCGAATTCTCCAGAAACAATAGGCTGTCAGAATTCCCACTAATTTCGGCCAAGCAGGTGTTTTTTCGCGCCGCGTGTCAACATCATTCGACCGCCCTTGCGCGCGTGCTGGGGGGCACGATCCGTGTCAAATAAAAGCGTGCCACTTTCGCGCGTCGGCCGCACGCGCACGTCGAACTCCTCCCCAAGCCTTCATCACCGACGCGAGGGCGCCGTCATCGTCGTCGGTGTGATCAGCACCGGCGCCGTCACTGGCCGTGCCGTCGCAGATGTCATCATCTTCGCCAGCGTCGCTACCATCATCATCGTGTCCACCGTCGTTTACGTTGCCATGATACTGCGCCCGCCCAAATCGCCGATTCGCACTGAAGTGCCCGCTGGGAAATGCCCAGCGG